GCTACACCAGCCAGGTCTAGTTATCCATTCTTCTAATGATATGTATTTAGGTGTTTCCCTCCTTCTCCTCCATTTTTTTTGCTATTTCAATAACTAGCTATAAAACATTCTTAAATCTGCCTTTTTGTGTGTATGGGTATGTGAGAGAATTTCTCCAGAGAATTGACCTGGGAGGGAAAATGCTGAAGTGAGTGTTAAAACAATGTTAGATATAAAATCTTTCATGTTGAGGTGATCAGGCTAGCAGAGCACTCCGGAGCCTGGAAGGCGGCCCTCTGGGGCACTTTAGCCCATTTGATCCGTGGAGAGAGTCAGGTCGGCTCCTAGCACTGCTGCCTTTTATCTTCCGTGAAGATGGTGAAACTCAGCCCCAGGGATTGGCCATCCCAGGTCTGGGTGAGCAAGTCTCCTGCTGGGATCGTTGCCTCCGCGTCTCTGCCTCCTTTCACCGTTGCTGAGAACTGTAGCCCGTCAGAGCCTGGGAAACCATGTCACAGCAGAAGACCACAACAAAGAACAGGAGGAAACATGCCTTTATTTGTCGCACCTGTGAAAAGGCAGGGTCTCAGCTCACAGGCTGCATTGTCCTGGAAAAGGGGGAAACAGATGGCCATTTCGAGGAACCCGATAGCATTGTGTGGGGCTGGGCAGGAGTATCCTGGTGGGGGCGGGGGCAGGGGGGCCAGGACAGAAGCTGTCAGCCGAGAGCCACACAGTGTGGAGAAGCAGCTTGGCTGTGGCCACTTCCTCCCGGGAGCAGGGGCCCAGAGAGGGTGGGGTGAACAGGCTCCCATTGTCTGCCTGCTGCTGTTTCTGCCAGAACTCCCCCAAGGAGCCAGGAGCGATGACTCCAGGGAACTCATGAGGGGAGAAAGCTGAGGACAGAAATGACCTTGGAGCAGGAACGACGAGGGTGGGGGAACACGGTGACAGGTGGTGTCCAGGGCCCAGGACGCTCCTCACATCTTCCTTTTCCTTTCTGCGTCCTCAGCCTGAACCGCTCTTACCTGAGTCGCCGGCGCTGCTGTGCGTGGCTTCCCCAGGGAGTGGTGGGGACACGTTTCAAACCGGAATCCCAGGCTCTGCCACTAAGCAGCTATGTAGTGCTGGGCGAGTCCCGTAACCGCCTGAGATCCTTACACCCCAGGAGATGCCAAGGTTCCTCCTTCGCTACAAGTCTGCCGAGAGCACCTCCTCTGCAGGGTTGCAGGCTGCTTGCTGTCGGGGGTTGAAAAACAAGTGCAAATTATGCATTCTTTCCCAGCACCTTTTCTCTAGTTATGGCCGTTGGTTCTGCTCTGCCTGGTCCCTGGTGAGCAAGTGAGTTCAAAGCAGCAGAGACAAGGTTGCTTTGGAAACAGGGAAAGTGGGTTCGAATGGTTCTGAGGCTTCCTCTGAGTTTGCTTCGTGGAGAAGGTAGAGCGAGCCACACATGTTCCGAAACACTCAGCCAAGAGCCACTTCCCCGAGCCCCTGTGACCTAACGCACAGACACCGGTACAGGGTTAGAATGACACACTTGCTCTCTGATTTTCCCCGGATGCCACTTGCATACCACTTGACCTTGAAACTGGGTGTTCCAGGGTCCCCTTCTCTTACCTTTTCATCCTTATCCTATATTTCCCACCTGGGTCATCATGTGCATTCCCATGGTGACCTAAAGACTGGTGAATCTCCAGCCCACGTTCTGATGTTCCCCTCTGTGTTTCGTGTTAAATGGCTATTGCAAGGGTCCCCGACCTCCGGACCATGGACAGATACTAGTCCCGGCCTGTTAGGAACTGGGCCACAAAGCAAACGTGAGCTTGAATGGAATGTGCTTGAATCACCACAAAACCATCCCCCCACCCTGGTCTGTAGGAGAATTGTCTTCCACAAAACTGGTCCCTGGTGCCAAAAGGCTTGGGGACCGCTGGGCTATTGGACATCTCCAGTCTGATGTCTTATAGGCACCTACTACGCTCACCGTGTCCCAGCTACACCCCTCAGCCTCTCTCAGCTGTGCCCTTTCTCCGGGGCTCCCTTAGCAGGCCCCTGAAGGGCGCCCTGGCAGGCTCCGAGAAGGTCAGCGCAGCTTCCTCCCACGTCCAACAGCCGAGAAGCTATGTGTGGCCTCTGGCTTTCCCTGTATCCCTCTCCTCGTGTTTTGCTCAGAGGGTGACTCCCTTTTCCAAGCCAGCTCTTCTGTGGTTCTGTTCCCATCAGAAAATCTCTGCTCATTAGGGTGACCAGAGAGGCTGGATACCTTCCGACCTCTGACCACCTTCCTCCTTCTTTGTCCCCACCCACCAGACATCTTGAGCTGCTTGCAGTTCGGCCAGTGGTTCAGGGCCCTCCACTCCCCACCGGCTGCGGCCTGTCTCCGCCAGGGTTCTTTCGGTGGAGTCCCTCCCTCCTCCCCAAGCCAAGCTCCTCACCGGCTGCCTCCTTCCTTCTGGCTTTTCAGGACCTCTCCTTGGCCTGGAGGCTTCCTGGGCCCTCTCATCTAGGTTAGTGGCTCCTGCTGGGGACTTTCGTGACAACCTGCAGTGGCCTTTCTCACGGCACTGATGGCATCATTTAAGCTTATCCTCCAAAGCAGGTCATGGTGATTTTTATCGTCTCCTGGCATAGTGCCTGGCTCTCGTGATGTGAAACAAATAAACACATTTTATAAAGAGAGAAAAACTCTCAAAGTTGTCTTGGGGTGGTGGCGGGACCTCAGAGTGCCCACGTACCCCACTGTATTTATGAAAACCGCAGCAGGAACAGATCTGTGGACGCCCATGGGTCCCCACAAACTCTCGCACTAGCTGATCTCTCAGATTGTCTAGTACCGCTTGTCACCAGCTCCTCCATGTCGCCTGAGGAGTTGACTCACCACCTGCCATCCAGGACCTGGTGCTAACAGATACCTGGGCATCACTGCCAAGTTTAAGAGAAGTCAGGCAAAGAATCGAGTGTCAGCTGTCCAGGTGCCAAGAGTCAAAGCCGAGGGCTTCCTTTGAATTGTTTGTGCTTCCAACTGAAGTGGCTCGCAAAACCAAACAGATCCGCGAGGGCTCTGAGGCCCAGCTGAGAGTCCAGGCATGGGGTAGGCAGATGGGGTGAGGGGGTGGAAGTAGTTACTGTGAGGGCCAATGTTCCAGGTTGTTCCTGGAGACACCATTGCAGAGCCAATCAGAAAGGAGACTGGTGGTACCCCTGTCTCCCTGGGCCCCTCTTTCTTGACATGCTGCCATCAGATTAATGACATTTTTCAATGCTGACAGGAACGACAACCTCATAAGGAAACAAATATGTTTTGCACCAGAGGAAAGATTAAAACAATAGTGAAAAGCAAATGGTTTTTCTATATAAGGGCTTAAACACTTAAACCTGCACAAAATGTCCTGAGTTAATACCTTTGTCTTAGGGTTATAATTTTACGCCTCAAAACTTTAGAGTTATTTCCAGAATTCCACTTCAAACACCATGTGTGAAGTTCAAGGCGCATGTGTACAGTCTGCTGGGTGAGCGGAAGGACAGGGGAAAGAGGGACCATACTCCAGTGATGGAGGAGAAAGTTATTACTGTCTTCAAATGCCAACGTGTAACATAAATTAAGATGTAAAAAAAAAGTTTGAGAATAATAACAAAAATCGCTAATGATTTTTCCAATGGAAAAAAGATAGAACTTATAAAACAAATGATTAGAAATGTAGGTTGGATTTAGAAAGCCGAGTAGTTATCCATTAAATGGATAACAGTATTTGATGTTAAGTGTGGTTATTATGCTATTAAAGGAATTTACATAAAAAACTAAGGTAAGTTACATTGTTCATCACAAAAGTACTTTTGACTTTAGAAAACATTAAATCGCACTGTGTTCCATTATTAGCGTCAATAAATTGCTTGCTTTAGGAACTGCATTGAGAAACATGTTTGTCCACACCTTTTTAGAGCGCAGCTGTCAGAATAGGACCTGATTTTCAAATGGGACTTCAGAACACATTAGGGCGGCTGTTGTGTTTAAAGCGGGGACATTCTTACGGAAGATGATTCATTTGAAAGGTCCGACAGCACACAGAGTATCTGGGCTCTGCCTGTCCCCAACCAGAGCCCAGGTTGGGTGTCCTTTCCTTGTCCTGAGGGGGAAATTCCAGCTCCCAGGTCCCAGACAGGCACCTACCTCCTCTCTGGCTGCCAATGGGACCTCTCACTTTCTAGGTTCAATGGTTCCCTCAGCCAGTTTTTAGCTGTGAGACCTCAGGCAAGTCATTTAACTTTTCTGTGCCCCAATTTCTTCATCAGTAATTTGGGGACAATAGTTTCTTCTTTGTAGGTTTGCTGGAGGGTTAAATCAATTTATGTGTTTTTAAGACCGTTAAAACTGGTGATTAGTAGATCCTCGGTAGGTATGAACAATGATTATTATTGACATTAGAAAGCTTCCATTCATTCTAAAGAATTGGCACAAATACAGAGAGGCCCAAGTTTTGTGACATCTTGTTAGTATACACACTCAGGCTTTGCAGTAGAGCAAATAACTTTCAGTGAACAATCAAAATCGTTTAGATTAAAAACATCTTGTCTTCAATGTCCTATTGTTCAAAAGCAAAATAAAAAGACAAAAGGGAAAAATTCCTGGCGAGGGGACAAGTTGTGAAAATTGTTTTAAAGCAGTCATTGTGTTCAGGTGGCCCAGCAAAGCCGCTGTAAACACAAGAGACAGATGTAAGGAGGAAATCAGAACCCTTTGTGGGGCCGCAAAATGGATGTCTTTTCAACTCAGCAGATCGCTATCGGCCTCACAGAGCGGACTCAGGTTCCTTTCTGCCCGATCATTTCCTTTACTCAGTGTCTGGAAGAACCACCCAGCCGGGTGTTTCACAGGATTACAGGTTTTTAGGTCAAACAGAAACCCTGGGGAGTGCCGGAAAAGGCCAAACACAGGCAGTTAAGTGACGCAGGAGCTGGATGACATCAACCCCACGGCTGTTGTGAGTGGCAGAGGCTGTGGTGCCCCAGTCGGTGTAGATTCTCTCACTGTGGGACCTCTGGCAACCAGGGCCACAGGTGAAAGCTTTGCTCCAAATTAGCTGCCGGTTTCCCGGTGGGCTGCAGGCTCTGCTGAGGACCAGCCACTCCTTCATTCATTCCGGGAGCAGGGACAGCCTCCACGCTTTGCCATCCTCAAGCAATCCAGGATGGAGGAAACTCAGGAGCCCCTGGCCATGACTGTCCACCTCCTCGCCAGCTCCGGGCACGGCTCGCTTCTGCAGCAAACTGTGGACCAGCTGCTGGACTGCATTTGCCCAGAGGTCCGTCTCTTTATGGTGTCAGAGAGGGTCAGTCCAGTGAAAAGCTATGACAAGTGCCACCCCAAGAGGTCCCGGTTCCCGGGGATGTCTGTGTTGCTCTTCTTGCATGAAAGCCGTGGGGAGGAACGGCTGTTCCGAGTCCTTGACTCCCTACAGCGGTGGCCGTGGCACTGCCACCCCGCCCCAAACATTCAGGGAAGCCTGGGTCCCTCCCTTCTTGCCCATCAGAAGTTCTACAGTCTGGACAATCAGATGCCTGTCTGGGGTGTGAGGCAGGTGCACTGTGGCACCGAGATCCTCAGAGTGACGCTCTACTGCACTTTTGACAACTACGAAGACGCCATCAGCCTCTACGAGATGATCCTGCAGAGAGAAGCCACCTCGCAGAAGAGCAACTTCTGCTTCTTCGTGCTCTACGCCACGGAGCGCGTGGCCCTGCAGCTCTCCCTGAAGCAGCTGCCCCTGGGCGTGTCGGTGGACCCAAAGGAGTCTTCAGTGCTGCAGTTCAAGGTTCAAGAGATTGGCCAGCTGGTGCCCCTCCTGCCCCACCCGTGCGTCCCCATCAGCCGCACCAGGTGGCAGACGCAGGACTTCGATGGCAACAAGATTCTGCTTCAGGTACCCGTGCTTCACCTCTATGGTCTTGTAGACACACAGGGAACGGTGTGATTTTACATTCCAGGGGGGCCTGGGAGAGGATTTAATGGGGGAGGTTCTCGGGTTTGTTTGAGCATCATGACCCCTGGGGGGCTCTCAGAAGTCGAGGGATCAGTCAGAGAGGGGTCTCTGGGGCCGTGCAAGCCTGGGCGTTGTTTTAAAAAGCTCCTTGGGTGATCCTAATATGTAGCATGTAGCAGCACCGAGAGCCACTAATCTAGTAAAATCCCTTCATCCAACAGATAAGGAAGTTCAGACTCTGTAGGCAGACAGCTGCTTCTGGGGAAAAAAATTGTCGATTGACTGCTTGTTTTCAGGAAATAAGTTTGTCTCTCGAGAATAGGTATATATTCCAGGAGCTAGTTTGGCACAAACAAGCAAGCATTTCTGTTCATTTTATCGACAGACATGTAGCTAAATTCATCTTTGTGTTCGTTTTAGCCATTTAAAATAAAAGAGCACAGTCTTTCGTGAAGTAAGTGAGTCATTTTCTTCTTCTCCTGTAGCATCTCTTGAAGTCTCCTCTGTCATTTCCGAGCCTCTCAGCTGTACTCACTGGGACGCTGCTCCTTCCTCTTTGTCTCGCTCATTTTCCATCCCTGTCCCTGAAGTGCCCACACTGCTGAACACACACATGCACACGCACACCCCCCCATCCCCACACTCTCACCCTCAGTAGTTTGGTTTGTGCTACCTTGAATGAACATTTATGGGCATTTCTCAGAAGGCTGATGCTACAGAATAGCAGGTTCATGTCAGTGGTTTTGGTTAATTAAAATAAGTATCCCTCAAAAGATCACTTTATTGAAAGAATCTGGTTTCAACTCTTAAGTGAGCAAGCCTGCCACTGTTTGGGTTGCTTACTATCTACTGAATATATAATTCCTTTCCATGGAATTTTTTCTCGATGTGGGAGAAATCCTGTCTTTGCTATCTTTTGGAATCACATTCAGTACGAGACAATATTTTGTCCCTTTGTGATGTCAGTCTACCCCTTAAAAGCTAAATTGTTTTTCAGCGATGTCTATTTTCTTGTTTCGACAGCCAGTTGAGTGACAGATGATCTTCCTGTTCATCAAGATAGTTGCTAATGTCGCCTGGAAAGTCAAAAACATCCTAGCTCTCAATTTGTAACATTTTACAAGATTTCTTAGAGAGCTGGGCTCTAAACGATCAGAATTTCTACAAAAGCATTTCAATTTATTTTTTGGCAGAAGGGGCTTTATTATTCCTCAAGGGATTTGTCTCAATCACTCAGCATTATGTTTCTTCTAAAAATTCTCCATTCTAACTGCACACATCTGCATTTCTATGTTAATAGTGTTGTACTCGCTCCTGCCATGTGGTCCAAGGATTTTAGATGTTTTTTTAAAGAGTTTATTTCTTTATTTTTAGAGAGAGGGGAAAGGGAGGAGAAAGACAGAGGGAGATAAACATCGATGTGTGAAAGAAACATCAGTTTTGAGAAAAACATCAGTCAGTTGCCTCTTGCAAGTCCCCAGTTGGGGACCTGGCCCACCACCCAGGCATGTGCCCTGACTGGGTTTTGAACTGGTGACCTTTTGCTTTGCAGGCCAGTGCTAAATCCACTCAGTCACACCGGCAATGGCTAGACTTTTCTTTAAAAAAAAAAAAAAACCAGTTAAAATTTTCTCCTCTTGAAAAGATTGCAGAAATGGCCAGCCATGTGAAGATCACTTTTAATTTTCTTGATAAGACTTTTTATACCTAATGTCAGTAATTAGAGGCCAAATTTATAGATTCTTTATTTCTATGTGCAAAAAATTGTATTTTTCAGGGATTAAGCTTTCATTATTTATCCAACAGATATCTACCGATTGTTTACCATGTATCAGGCACCGTGCCAAGTACTGGAAGTACGGTGATGAAGGTATATACAACCCCTCTCCTCCGGATGTTCCCGTCTGGAGGAAGAGCCAGAGAAGTAAGCAGACAAGTGCAAAACAGTGTGGTATATGATATGAAAGGACAGGATGCTAGGAGAGGAAGTAATAACATTAATTATGATGATAATAACCAACTTACATTTAGCACTACCACGTCCCAGGCACTATTATCATTTAATGTTCTCAGAAGCCCGTGTGACATTGACACTTAATTATCTCTCTTTATAGATGAGGAAACTAAGGCACAGGAAGATTAGATAACTTGTCTAAAAGTCCCACAAGCAATAAATGGCAGAATCAATATTTAGGAGGATCTAACTCAGATCCAGTGGTATATCAAGAAGGCTTTCAGGAGAAAATGATGTGTAAGCTTGGAGTTGACAATGAGTAGGAGTCTTTAGCAGAAAACGTTAGAGGGGACATATCCCAGACAGAGGAGAAAATATTCACAAACACTGGCATCAGGAAAGGACAAACAATGTCCAACGAATCGAAAGAAGTTCAATTCTGGTAAATGGATCTTGAAAGGGAGGCGGTGGTGAATTCAGGCTGGAAGGTGGTGAATTCAGGCTGGAAGGAGGGGCAGACTGTGACAGGTGTCGTAAGATTTTATCTCGAGAAGAATAGGAAGCCACTGAAGCAGGAAGGAGACGCGAGCACCCCCGCTTCCACACTCCTCTGGTGGCAGAGTGGAGACTGGATTAGAGGGCGGGGAGAGCGTCCCCAGGGAGTCCCTGCAGAGGGCGCTGCAGGGATTCAGCCAAGAGACCGTGACAGTCTGCCCCTGGGCTAACACCGGCAGTGGGCGTGGAGAGAGAGGAAGATCTGAGAGACCCCTGGAAGGCAGAGTCCACGGGCATGGGTGACATCTGGGGAGATGATACTCTTGCTTGGGTCACGTGGGGCTAACGATGCCATCTTCTAAGACAAGAAAAGGGGTAAGTGCAACAGATTTAGTGTGAGGAGGGAGATGAGATCAATTTTGGAAATGTTGAGTTTAAGGAGCTGCGGCCTTGAGGATGCTTGGATAGATAAGTATGAAGCTTAAGAGACAGCTGAGCTGTCGTTATACTTGGGGAGCCTTTGTCATTGCAATAATAATGAAGGCATGGGTGTCAATGGGATTGCCCTGGGAGGGGGGGGCAGAGTGAGAAGGGAGGAGGGCCCAGTTAGCACTGAAGAGCTCAGAGGGAAGAGAGCAGAGGCTCCTTCAGTGGACACGAGAAGGGGTGGATGGACAGAAAGGAAGAAATCCAGAGGGTTGGGCTGGCAAGAAACTTAAGGGGAAGAAGACATCAAATCTGAAGGAGGAAGGGTCAGCCTCGTAAAATTCTCCCAGAGCTCAAGTTAGAATGGACGACAAGGAGGCTGACTACAGGGAATCTCAGCAAGAGCACTTTCAGTGGTAGGAGGGAAAGTCAGTGTCATGGGCAGAAGACATAAGGGCAGGTTAGAAGGAAAAATGAACGTGGACAAAATTTTGTCAACGTGGACAAAATTTTGTCAACTGGTTTGACTAGGAAGGAGAGAAGACAGAGAGCTGGCGAGGGGAAGAGGGTTGAAGGAATGCATTTGTCATGATGGATATAACCAGATTTCATTACTGTTGGCAAGGAGAAGGAGATTTATCTATCTATCTAAGAGAAAGAGACTGATTGCACAAATGAGATAATAAAGTGGGGGGAAATGGGTTAATTGATAGGGTGGGGTCCCCAGGAAGGCAAAAGTTCATGACTGCAAAGGTTCTCTCTCAATGTGGAGAGGATGGGAAAGTTGCAATGGTGGGAAATGGATAGAGCTGCTCATTAATAATGGCTTTTATTTTCTCTGTAATCCAGATGGTGAGACCACCCGATGAAAGGTGGGGGCAGGTCATGCCACTGCTTAAGGACAGTTCAGAAGGTTGAAACTACTGTCCTGGTGAATGGAGAAAGGTGACTAAGGAAGCAGCAGGACTGGCAGGTAGCCTGGGTGGAGCTGGAAGCCACGCCTTCATGGTGGTTCCAATCTGAACAGCTCTGAGTGTTTCTTTAGCAGCCTGGGTATCCATTCAGGAAGTTGTGGGCAGGTGGATGGACCCAGGGTTGGGAGGTTTGGAGGGAACCTGTCACAGAAAGGGAGTGGAGCAAGGAGTTGGAGGCACTGGAGGTACAAGCGATGGTCTTCAGACTCAAACTGACAATGAAGGCAGTGAAGATAGACCGGGCCGAGGAGAGAACGAGAAGGTGGTGATGATGTTCGAGAGCAGATGTAATGGGAGAGAGAAGTGCTGGAGCTGAAGGGTGGGCAGTGGCCCGAGCGTGCTAGGCCTGAGCTGAGTCTTTCAGAGGTGGAGCGTTTTAAGGTGACAGGGCCCAGTGGAGGGGCCATGGGCCTGGGTGAGCAGAGTTGAGAGGGAGGAGGCACTGGGCCCTCTCAGCAGGGCCCACTGATTCCAGCTCTGGCTTAGACAGGCTCTTCCTGGAGGCCCTGAGATGCCTTGGTGTCGGTTGTGGCTTCAGGACCAGTTTCGTTTTGGTCTGAGATTGATTTCGAGGGTTAAGGGGACTTACTCAGGCTTCTCCTTCTGTTCATGGTTGTTAGACATGAAATAAAATCCCAAAGAAGCAAACTTATAGATTTTCCTATTTTTACTTCTGGAAAACAAAAACAAACAAACAAAAATGAGCGAACTGAGTAGTGTTTCTTTGAATATCACAGATACATTTATTGTTTTGCTGTTGAAAATTAAGTCTTGGAAGGGAACATGTTTTACTGTTTCATACCATACTTTTAAATATAATCAATTAGAAAATGAACCCTACAAATAAACTGTCAACACCCGGTGCTGTTGAAGATGAGAAGTAACAGGAGCCCTCATTCATTGCTGGTAGGAATGCAGAATTGTACAGTCACTTCGGAAGATAGTTTGTTGCTTTTATGCAAAGTGGACCTACTCTTGCCATAAGATCCAACAGTCGCACTTGTTAGTATTCACCCAAATGAGTTCAAAAAAAACTTACGGATTTCCTCCATGAGGTTGGGCAGTCCAGTGACAACCCTGAACGATGTCTGAATACGGAAATAACCATGTCACTGGGGGGTGGGCTGGGATGGGAGTAAAAGACAGAAAACTGTACTTGAACAACAATTAAGTAAATAAATTTTTTAAAAAATCAATGGCAAAATAAATGCAAAAATAATAATAATAAAAGAAATAACCATGCCAGTTTCCATTTTCACAAGAAGAGGCTTCACTGGCTCAGAGGTAACATATAATGTCAGCTGGTGCTCCAGGAAACAAAGATGGCAGCTCAGGCCTTCGATGGACCATGCTTATTGCTTTTGTTCAATTCAACTGAGTTACTGAATATCAGCAATGGGTACAGCTTGGCAGAGGGTGACTAGAACATAGTCTGTTCTCAGCGCTTAATAAATAGAAAGCACTCGTTACGTTTGTTCGTCTTTTGTTTGTCCGACAGATCCAATCGAATCCAGGACTCAGTGTTAGGAACGGCACCTCCGGAGCTGACACACTTCTCCAGGCCTGCAGGGTGCCGCCTGTCTCCACAAGGAAGGCCCTAGAGCTGAGGAGGCGAAGGAGCGGGGGCAGGAGGTCCCAGGTGGCTTCTCTGGAGTTCCCTGAGCCCGGAGAGAGCCCGGCGTCACATGGCTCTAGTGACACGTTGTGGAAAAGCCCTGGCTGCTCATCCCTGGTCAACAGCCAAGCCACAGATGCCCAGCTGCCTCTGCATTCTGCCCACCTCGAACCCAGGGCCAGAATGAAGGTCTTCAGTCTGAAAAACAGCTTTGAGAAGCTGGAGGCAGAGACCAATGTTGACACAGGGTGTACTGTGGTCAACTCTGAACCCAGGCAATCTCTTCTGAGCAGATTCCCCAGGGATCCGCACACCAGCCAGCCACCGCTCACCTGCTCCCTGGGGGCGGCCGCCTCCAAAAACAACAGACTCTCGAAGGAGAGCATCCACCCTTTGTCACTTGCTGGCCAAAGGGAACTTGGTGCAAGGCAGATAATCTCAAAATGTCCCCTTCATCTGCCAGTTCAGGGTGAAGAAAAAGAAGAAGAATTCTTTATATAGGTTGAAACCAATGTGGTTTTCTAAGACACAAGATCACGTACAGTGTCCTAGAAATGGAGCACTGTTTCTTGTTTATCTGAGGGGGCCTGAATGCTAGTCATGAAGATGTCTGTAAGGCTTTTATTTCAAATGTTCAGCGTCTAACAACACTGCGAGCAGTTGTGTATTTGCCATCCTGCATCATGGCCATGGTCCGAAGGGAACACAGCCAACCCACAAACACACGGGGAAAAAGCCCAGGCTGAGTGTCCTGAGAGACGCACTAACCCAGCTGGGAGTGTGGAGATCAGCCCCAATCAGGATAATTGCACTGTATGCAAATGAGTCGGATGTGTTATGCGATGTTGATTAGTGTTTGTAATTTGGTTTTAATTTTCACTGCGGTTGCATAGCTCCTCCCCTGGATAGCACGGACTATTTCTTCTTTACTGGTTTTTAATTTTCATGTGACCTCCTTTTGTAACTGGGCCCTGGGCACCACGTACCCTCAAGTGATTTTGCCTTTAAAGTTGTTTGGAAGGAGTTGAAACTTAGGAATAATTAATTTTTTTCCTGTTTAATGAATAAAGACACCAGAAGCTCAAAAATCAGGTTAACAATGAAAGCGAGGCTGCAGGGTTCCCCTGCTCTTGCATTTCTCCTTGGTTTCTGCACCGCGCCAGTGGGACCGGTGGCCCACGTGATCAACCAGAGGGGAACACGGCGTGATTTTATGGCAGCAAGGTGGCATCGTTTGGGTTACAGAGCAGGACTCGGGTCCATCTGGCCATGTCCGACTTCCTAAATTCCTTTGCAATATTCAGGCATCCATTCATTCAACAAAAATTTATCAGGCACCTACGTTTGAATAACACGTTGATATATGGTATACGTACATTCCGCGGCCGTCAAATCAAAAGTCTTCATGGTTTCACTAGTGTGATAGATCTATTGTATCAACTCGAGAATCTAGTGAAGTGCAGATTTATTCCTCCAGGACAGTCGCACGGTTCATCCCAACAGTTGCTGCGGGAGGAGGGTGTGGTGAGCGTACACAGCCTGCAGATGCAGACCCAGCACGTTACGCCGTGCAGTTGTCATCGCCACAGATTTTCAATTGCTCATATGCTGCTTTATTGTATGGTTGAGTCTATACCCGCATTTTTAAGAAGTCTGAGGCCTACGTGTTTTAGTTATTTGCTAAGGCTATTCCTTCGTTTTATATATCTATTTATTTTTCAATGACAGTTTACATTCAGTATGATTTTGTATTAGTTTCAGGTGTGCAGCATCGTGGTTAGACAATCATGTACTTTACAAAGTGATCCCCTCTAAATTTCTAGTACCTGCCTAACGCCACACATAGTTATTACATTATTATTGACTGTATTCCCTTGCTGTGCTTTATGTTGCCATGACTATTCTGTAGCTACCAAGTTGTACTTCTTACTCCCTCCACCTTTTTCACCCAGGTCCCCAAACCCCCTCCCCGCCGGCAACCACCAGTTTGGTTTCTGTGTCCGTGAGTCTGTTTCTGTTTTGTTTGTTTATATTGTCCTTTAGAATCCACACATTAGTGAAATCATATGACATTTGTCTTTCTCTGACTGACTTATTTCACACAGTATAATACCCTCTAGGTCCATCCACGCTGTCGTAAATGATAAGATTTTTTTTCTTTTTGATGGCTACGTAACATCCCATTGTGTCTATGTACCACAGTTTGATAAAGTTATGCTACTCTATGAACTTCCTTTCCAAGGCAGATGACACATAAGATTACAAATGACGACTTAGCTAGATCTTTTGGAGAACTGGTTACTTACTACATGCAGCGGGGGTCAGGCCTGTGGATGAATCTTACGGCGGCAAGACTGAGCTGAGTTTGGGATTCTCTGCCCCGCTTAGGATACAAATGGATGGCAGCTGCTGTGAACAAAAACACAACTCCTAGCCCTGGCTGGTGTAGCTCAGTGGATTGAGCACGGGCCTGCGAACCAAAAGATCATGGTTCGATTCCCCGTCAGGGCACGTGCCTAGGTTGCAGGCCAGTTCCTAGCAGGGGCCAGTTCCCAGCAGGGGATGCACCAGAAGCAACCATACATTGATATTTCTCTTCTTCTCTTCCCTTCTAAAGATACAGTAATAAAATTTATTAAAAAAACACGATTTCTAAATTGACTTTTGTTGATCTTTACAATATCGTTATATTCTCACTCTTATTCTCTTTCTCTCTGTCAAATTAAAGGTCCATCTTAGAAAGTGGAATGAAGAACTTAACTTTGGTATGTTTTTTTCTGTAATAGCATTTTAAAAACAAAAATCTTACTTCAGTTAAACCATTGCACTGCTTTGAAAAGCACAGCAGGGGGACACGCTGACCGTTCTTTCCCACCTTTAAGAGGTTGCCTACATTTCTTTAACACCATTCATGGGTAAGAATGCAGTGCATGGAAATCATAAGGAACATTTAAAAATTTCAACAGCTACCTTTCAAAATTGGCTTGTAAAATAACACACTCTTACAATATCACCTGTGCTATCTTATTCAGCACAGGAACCCAGTTTACACCGTGATGGGGTGGAAACGCCAGTGGACAAGGTGGAAGAGGCCCAAACTTTACAATTTACTGTTGACATGACCTTGAACCGTCAGCTTCTATGATCCTCTGTTGCCTTGTCTACTGTAATGAAAAGTCATTGGAAGAATCAAGATGATGCATATGAAAGTATTTGGATATGGCCAAGCATTATAAATATGCAAGATAATATTCATTCATGGCCCCTCAGACTCACATTTTAAAAATGTCATGGCAACAAAAGATTTTTTTGAAACAAGCTTTAGTAAAATCAATGATATAATACAAAATCCAGTGACATAATGATTACAAATAAATCTTTCTAAGATTATTAGTATGGGCGCCATTTATTTATATTTATCAAAGAGGAAAATTATAGATAGAATTCAAGTAGATTCTGAAATTCATAAAAGATTATATGAAAAGGGTTAACTACACACTAATTCAATTTGTCAAGTTAGTCAGTTAGACTAACAGTTAGTTTTAACACTGTTAGTTTAGACTGTTAAGTATAATGATAGTGTATTCCCTAAACTGTAAAATGTCTCTCATTTTATATTTGGATACATCCAATGTAGCCAAAAAATTTTTTTTAATAAGTGAGAGACTTCTGATGATCATATTATTTCATTTTTATAAGGGTTGCATTGCAGTCACTTGGCTATTTTTCACTTTATTAATAGTGTTTCACACTTTTTTGCAAGTGCTACTTGGACATTGCTAAACATTAATAGAAATGGTATTATCTGCAAACTTGAGATGGCCTTTGCTGGTTGTGGGAAGTAGAGCAGGGGGTCTGGGCTGCACACACCTTGACTTTGAGAGGGAGGTGGACCAGCACCTCAACTGCACCGCCATCTGGGGAACAAAAGAGATATTTAAAAAATGAATGTACATTCAGAAAATTCGCCCCCGGGAGCCCCAGTATGAGGCACAGCCCTCCTGAAACATGTCCCCTCTGCCCCTCCCCTGACTCGGACATGAGACACAGACTCAGCCAATTAAGTGTCTTCTCCCTGGAGTGTGGCTGCTCCTCCTCAGGGGTGGGGAGACTTCTTTAGGATGCGGAGGCAGGCAGCGGCCCTCTGGCCCCGGAAAGAGGGTTGGCCGTCTTTGGGCACGGGGCCCTTATTCCACACTGGTCCCAGGGCCTGATTTGGTTCTGATTCTGCCTGTTCATCCCCCTTCTTTTTTGTTCTTGTACATTTTCTGAGCCCGTTTCTCTGGGCTTCTGATAAATTTATTCCCAGCTCCAGTCAGCCAGGATCAGTTCTGTTCTTGCACCAAATTGCTGAGACAGATAGGGAATGAGACACTAATAGACGTTAAAGCCAAGAGCAAAACTGGGGCGCCGTATTAGGGAATTGGATTTTCAAAGGGATAAACAAAGATGTAAAAAACAGTTCTTTTGGGGGCTCAGTTTCTCTTTGAAGTTGTCTTGGCTTTGATTCTTTTCACTCTTTTTTGTCTGGGTCGCTTTTAGCTTCTCCCTCATGGCTGTGACAACGAGAAGACCTGCTCTCTCCCCTTTATCAGGCTAAGAAGGAGGCAAGGTGGGACCCGTCCAGGGAGGGGAGGTTTGTTTTTGAAAAGCAGGTCCCCTCTAGACTTCAGACCAGGCTAGGCAAAAAGAATCCTGTGAGCTACACATGGTCTGGCCTAGGTCAGCGGAACAGGGCCTCAAATTAGTTAGAGCCCTTTCATTTATCAGCAAGAGAGACTGAGAACCAATGTATACAAAAAGGGGAAAGAAGGAAAGGAACTGAGTCATTTTAATTAAGAGACTATTTCAGGGAACCATAGTCCCAGCGTCACATCCCACCCGCAGGGCCCCCTAGTGGACAGAGGGAGCCTTTTGTCAGGGCTCTCGAAGAAAATTCCCAGGTAGTTGCTGATTGGCTTGCACTGAGTGACGTAGACCAATCATTGTGTCCGGATGACTGCGTTCTCTGGCTGGTGAAGCTGTGGCTGTGTCCATTTGTATGAATGAGAGCTGAGGGACCAGAAGGGGGCGGGAGATCACTGGCAGGCAGTCAGCCCCACTTGAATAACATGTGCATCCTGCACAGGAAAGAGGCTTTTTTAGTAATCGGAAGTGAGATGCTTGGCAGACAACAAGAACCCGCATCCTCTCCTGGCCCAAACTCTAGCTGGTAACTGAGGATGAGCCCCCTCTGTGTGGTCCCGTAAGGGGGCCCTTTCGCTCCAGTCACTTCTTCCCTGCGGAGAATATGCTTGTGGAAAACGGAAGACCTTTGGCATGTGGCCTCCCTCAGCCTGCTTTGTTTAGAGCTTGTATTAGTTTCCTCGAGCCTTGGTAGCAAATGTCCACAAACGTCGCGGCCTGAAACAACCGAATGTGCTCTGACAGTTCTGGAGGCCACATGTCCACAATCTAGGCGTCGGTGGGGTCACACTCCTTTTGGAGACCCAGGCAGAGAGTCGTTCCCTCCTCTTTCAGCTTCCGGGGCTGTGGCTGCAAGATTCCAGGCTCTGCCTCGTCTTCACGTCTGAATGTCGGTCTCTGTTTCACAGGGACACTTGCCATTGCATTTAGGGGTCACTTGGATAATCCAAGATGATGTCGTTTCAAGATCCTTAATTACATCTGCAAAGACCCCTTTTCCAGATCATGTCTTATTCATAGATTCTAGGGGTTAGTATCTAGACATAGCTTTTGGGGGGCTACCATTCAACCCACTACAGAGCTCTTCTAACTATGTAATCTTTTCTTGGTTAGTTTAGTTATTTATTTGTATCGCCTACCATCTTCCATTCACCCTCTTCCCACCACATACACACTCACGCACAAATACAAATCCCATCAGAGCTAGTACCTACGTATCATCTTCATAACGGTATCCACACATCCTAAAACAGTAACCGGAAACAGGGTAGATGCTCGGTGAGTGTTGGTTGTTGAATAACAGAATGAAAGAGTCGATCTCCTTAGAC